TGTGTATGGCTATAACGGCTATAGTGCGGTATTCATAGGTGGTATGTAAAAAGGCCTGCCTTATCAGTTATCAGGGGAGGCCAAATTGACACAGAGGAATCACTCCATTGTGTGCGGATTCAAAGAGAGATGTGAGCACATTGGATGTCTCCATTTCCAATAACTGTGACCTTGAGGCAAGAGGAATGGCACTGTGCCCCCCCACCTTCAATCTGCTGACTGCTGAATTCAACCAGAGCCAGCTGATTTTTGGTGTTTGGGTGGAGGGCTAATCGGTGCTACCTCAGGGTTATTCTATAGGGTAAATTGAGTTTGGCTTTTATTTTTTCTGAACTGTGTGAATGCAAATGACTACAAAGGCCTGTGTACAGATTTGTATGGAGTGAAATATTTGTAGCCTCTATGTGCACATTATCCTCTTTGAGGTTGAGGTTTTCTTTCACATAGTTTTACAGTTAACACATTTCACAGCGAGAGGGCAAGAAGACATAGATGGTCTTGAGAGTTTCTGGTCACATTCCACTGTTTTACTTTCCCTCTCTTGTTTCTGATCCATCCATCGTCCTGCTGATTACCAAAAACGGCCCCAGTTTCATGTATGTGATCTTTCAGATGTGCAGTCTTATTGTAGTGTAGCCACAGTGTAACTGACCTCAGGTTGTCCCTTTCCTCCAGTTTAGTATTGTTTTGTTTTGTGGCAGCAGGCTTAAGTCAGATAATCATCTGCTTGATGTGATTCATCACTTATCATCATCGTTGTGATACCAGAGCCGTGTTTTTATCTCCCGTCTTCCTCAACGACACACTAAACATCACCACACTCACTTCAGTTAATGACAAATTGGTTCTACCATACATATTGCCAACAACACAACAGAACAAGAAAGTCGTCACAAACAGTTAAATTAAAATTAATATATTGATATTTTAAATTTTGGAAGTCTCGGGTGTCTCCAATTACACTAGGAATTTGAGAATGTGGTGAGTCTAAGAAAAGAGGAAGTTGATATACAAATTGTTAGTAAAAGTGGTATTATATGGATCGATATGGAACATTGATGTTTGTTAAAATTAGAACCCAATTGACTGGTGACCTGTGTTAAAAAGCCATTAGCAGATTGGTGTGCGTTGTGTGCGTGTGTGTTGGGCACTTATTCTTTCTGTTCATCATGTGCTAACACTGCCCAACTGTCAGTGCGTGTGTGTCTGTCTATATATGTGTGTGTGTGTGTGTGGTTCAGACCAGGTCTATACAAAGAAGCCAGGTTGTTTTAGCACTCAGCCTAATTAATCCATCTCTCAGTGACAAAAGGATCCCTACGCCTCCTTCCTCCGGCCCGTCCCATTGGCATTTTGGGGCAGAGGGATTCAGCAGGACCCCTGGGCACCCCTTCCTGCCCTGACCCCTGCCCCCCCACCAGAGGAGCATCTGTGGATCGATCCGGGGCCAGCTGGCACCAGGGGAGAGGGGCAGGACTGGTACTCTAACACAAACAAAACCTTCTTGAATGAAAGTCATTTATTGTCAGTTATGAAATGAATTAGGCAGTGCAGAGCAACTGTAGGCATGATTCAGGTTTGATTGCTCTTATTTGTTTGTGCTTTTTTGTGTCTTGTCATATGTGGCCTGGTTTGTGTGATGTAGCACAAAGCTGTAAGTCAGAGCTAACTGTTGTTCTGAAATGATACTCTACAGTGTGTGTTGTGCAGATATGCAGCTAGGGGGCAGCATACAGCCATCACCCCTCCATCCGTCTTTCTGTCATCTCTTTTCCTGCCCTCCTTTCTTTCTCTACGGCTGTGTCCTTTACACACACACACACACACACACAGGTATTTAGTCATTCTCTGGGCTCTGAAAGAGAGAGCATATTGATAGTCATATCCTCTTTGTAATAAATTAAACTTCTGTATTGTCCTTCCCTTTCATTTTACACATTGTCACAACCTCCCAGTCACCCTAATCCCAGCTACCCCCCCTCCCCTTCTCTCAAACACACATACACACTCACATGCACACACACATTGATTGACAAGCTGCATCCGGGGAAATGGAGCAGATTTCCATTGTTTGCTGTCCCTACTCAAATCTGTTGAAACGGTTATTCCATTCTTGTGCCGGGGTATTTGCATATCCTTAAGTATTTTCTATTTTTCAAGACCCCTCTCCCCCTTTTCCTCCTCATCCTTCTTTTTGCTAAATCCCCTCTTCTTAAGTGTTTGGTGCATTTGGCAAATTCATTCATAACGCATCTACATGCACTATTAGCTTAGTATAATAGCCAGGGTGTAATCTGCAGAGAGATAAGAGGTGGAGAGGGAGAGTTTTTTTCCCCATCTTCCTCTTCTCCTGATGGGCTGTTCTTTGGACAAGTTGAGGTTGGCGGTGGGGCGATGATATGTCATTATGTTCCTCAGCCAAGGCGACAAGGCTCAAATGTCAGCACGAAATGTCAAGTGGCCTTGCTACTCAGTCGGTGTCTTCTGTAGTTTTTTATTTAATTATTGGTGTGAGCGAGGTGGGAAAGAGGAGGTAAAGATGGAGGGAGATGGAAGGATAGGAGGGTTAGATGGGATGTGCAGTGAGTTGTCGGTAGGAAGAAAGGCAGGATAAAAACAGAGGGATAGAGGTTAGAGAAACAGATTCTGATCATTTTTGCCAGAGCAATTTTAGGTTTTATGTCTTGTCCAAAAAGTGGAAAGAAAGGGAAGATGCCTAACAGAATATCTCGGTTCTGGGATTCACACCGTAAACATTTCCTGGACCATATTGCTCCCATATGCCAACTGCTTGAGCTCTTGAGCCTCTGCCCCCGGAAAAGAATGAAAGCCAGCATTGAATAGATACTTTGAATGAGCTATAAATCAGATATTCAGTCCGTTAAAGGTCCAGTGTGTAACA